TGTGTTCATGTATTAGAGGAACATTAACAAGTATACTTCTTGACATCTTTGTCAGACTGCTCTTATCCTTATGATGACTGCACTTTGTTCCTGAATTGAATTTAACATGACTCCCTGAATTTGTGAGACTAAGCTGTGTTCTTTTGATTACAATAAGAGGACCCCTTCATCACCCTCAACTTTCATCAGAATATCCTCTTTTGCACGATTTACTTTTAATAGATGACATAGTCGGTTAAAAAAAAAAATCAGAAAACAGTGGGTGACAGATACTTTATCTGCAAGTGTTTGCAGCACTGTTACATCAGACAAAGTATGAGCGCTGCACCGGTAGCAAGTTACATAATAATCTCTTATCATGAATGTGCATCAGAAAAAGTCAAAAATCAAATTTAAGATCACAATAAATCATGGTTTTGTAACTGGTAATAAAATCCAGTTTGATGCTGTGCAGCACACTACGCAGCAGATTATAACCAAAGGTAACATCAGCATGAAACAACTGTCTCTGAGCTCTGCAGTTAAGAGGCAATTATGAGATGAAGAACAAGCTAAAGCAAACCAAGAAAAAATTATCCCTGAGTTGAAATCTTTCTGTAAGTGTGATTCTTAGCTAAATATATCATGTGGAAGAAACCTTAAAAGCCACTGCTTCTCAAGCATGTAACAAACAAATGTGAGATTTCAGGATTACATTGAAATAATAAACTCATGCATGCAGAAAGCAGACATGTTGAAATAATATAGAGCCAAATCTCCCCCCCCCCCCCCCCCCCCCCCCCCCACACACACACACCAAAAAAGAAAATAAAAAGCAGCTTAGGAGGAAAAATGTGTTACCAAATCTTTTCTGTTAAAACTATCATTCATACAGTATATTGGCCCAACAACAATGAAGTGGTTAAATTCATGTGGAGCACCCATGAAAACATATCAGTCCCAATGGCAGCAGCAGCAAAGAGCAGAAATTAGCAGCCAGCCAGATGTCAACAAAGAAACCACAAGCAAATTTGCACAGAACATTAAACAGTCCGCATCAGCTGCAGCCTCAGCCTCGGCTTTTAAGACGCCTGTCGCCATGCCACGAGCACAAAAACTGACCGAAGAGAGCCGATGTGACATCACAAACTCACATTTTGCATATTAACACACAATTCTTACCTTGAAGGAGCAGGAGGCCTGCAGCTGGGCGTGAATGTATTTTATGATTAAAACGTTCGGTTTGTTGATAGTTTAACCTTTCTAATGCAATGCGATACGTACTGCTAAGAGCATAACATTTGCAAAGGTGCCGTGTAGTAGTATTGGAGTATAATAATCTGCAGAGGAATTTGGAGACCAAATGACACGCCGTGCAAAGGTGAAGAGGTGCGTTCAGTGTCTGGGTGTAATGAAGAGGATTTCCCTCGATGTTTTAGGCTAATGGAGTTGACAGGATCAGCTGCAATGCTACTTCTGATAAAGAGGTTTTAAGGCATAATGTTTACAATTAAAAGTTCAAGCATGGGTTTATTTTGTCATTTAGGATAATAACGTATGATAATGGCTTACTAATTAGAGTATGCTTTTTAAAAAAAAGTTCATTGCAAGAATTCTGAGAAAGATTAAGATGTTTGACGCAGAGAAGCATGAAAATGCAAACAGATTATACTAGCCGACACAAACAACAAGAAGGCAGTAAAACAAGTATCTAACGGTGTGTGTGGCCTGCTCCTTGGTATGACAGGCAGATTGGGGGAGTGAAACTGTGGCCCCTTCTAGTGCTGCTGGTCTATATCCTGTGGTCAAACTGTTTGAAAGTGAAGATATCGTTGGGATTCTGGGGGTTTCTATTTGTTAACACAACTGTGCTCTAAATGGAGGATTAAAATTATGAGTAAGGTGATTTATCTTGGGGCAATTAAAAAATAGTGCAGTTTGATTGTTTGTTGTTTTTTGTCTTTTTTCTGTTTGTGCCCTCGGCCGGCCCCGCCACAGTAGCGCTCCATCAATCACGTAATGAATTGTTACACGTAACAAGTCATGTTTGAAATTGATATTGTTGTGTGTGTGTGTGTGTGTGTGTGTGTGTGTGTGTGGGTTCGGTGCAGCCAGCTGTACAAACAGAGTCTGGATGACTCATGAACCCACCTGTGAGTTACTAATAGTCCGAAATGACAGTGGACCCACTGTGATTCTGTAACTCGGAGTCACTGATAAAGCACTGCAACAAAGCCTGATAAATATACAGTACAAAGAGGCAGGTGGGTGGTCTCTTCTACAGACAGATAGGTAGTCTTGGCCTGCTCTCCATTGTAAGAATCTGTTGTCAATTTCTTATCACTCTGTATATGCAACTATATAAATGCACATCTGACAGCAACTTCGGCACTAAAATAATATTTTTGCACTGACTAAACTTTTGATTATTGTGTAACTATAACAGTGCAGAGAGAAATGTGAGGAGATAAAGCATATAAGGGAAGGAAAAGAAGCAAATCCACAGCTAGACTTTTGCGATAAAAAAATCTGAAGATGTTTTCCGGATAGTCTGCTTAATTCTTAGCTAAATAGATAAACAATGACCAAAAAAGGGCTTTTAGTTTTACTACAAGAGTTTTAACTTCATACTGTAAAAATATTTTCCCAGGACCTTCGTGTTTTGCCTTTGTTTGTTAATATATTTATTTATTTCAGATTCTGCTCTTTATTTCTGCTGTGATCTTCTTTGAAGTCGTGCCCATACGCTCTGAGAGCTGTTCTGTCATCAGCTGCAGGTGTTTATAGCAGTTAGCTGTTTTCTAGTTGTTTCAAGATATTGTGGGGAAAAAATAGAAAATACTGTACAGGGATTGTTGATAGCAGCATGAAAGCAGCAGTTCAATTTGCAGATTTTTAAAAATCGATTATTAAATCACATTTTCTCATGATGCAGCCAAAAATATAATGGACAACATGATGGCAGAATGGGACTGAGTAAACAAGTAATCAATTTTTTTGTGTCCACTCACTGTTACGTGACCATGTGATGTATCTCAAATTACCACATTTTTGTTAGCCTCCAAATTACATTTTAACTCTTTCACCCAACAAATATGTACTTTTGTGAAGAACAATAAAAATAGTAGTTTAATTTGTAACATTTTTAAAACTTATTTTAACATTTTTTAATTATTTGGAAACCATAAAACTAAAAATAAAAACATAGGTCTTTAATATCTTTAGATAGACCTGACATTACACATGTGAACACACATTTGCCAGCCACTATATTAGGTACATTATTTCAACTACTACTTAACACAAATATCTAAGCCAATCACTTAATGCATTTAGATATAACAACATAGTCAAGACGACCTGCTAAATTTCAAAATGTGCATCATAATAGCAAAAAATATTTATTGATTTGATTTAAATGATTTTGAATGAGACTTGGTTGTTGGTCTGAGTATTTCAGTTACTGCAGATCTACTGGGAATTTCAAACACAACCATCTCTAGGCTGTGCAGGGAATGGTTTGAAAAAGGGAATATTCACTGATCAACAGTTCTCTGTGTGAAAAAGGTCCTACCAAAGGATACCTTAGAAAAGTGTTCAACAAGCGTACGCAAATATTAAATATTAACCTACATATACACCTGACCTTTGTAACTTTACTTCAGGCTTCAAAAGCAACTTAAGCAGTCTTGTTAAAAACTACTAATATGCTCTAAATAATGAATCATCATCAGAACACATGTTTAATAAGAGCAGAATTTATTGCACTGTAACTTTTTTCTCCTTCACTTACACAAAAACGAATCTCTTCATTCTTCTTGTCTCAATACATCACAAATAATTTAACGAAAATCAACGTGGATCCTACAGATTCAGAAAGAGCACACATTACTTATTGACAATTACAAAAGGCATGGTGGTTTATTGTAAACCCATTAATAAGACATTCACTGACTGTTTTACAAGTCTATGCTCTGATGACAAAAATGGGAAAAAACACTGAAAAAAAAAAAATCAAATAAAATCATTACCAACAAGACAAAAAAAACAAACAAACAAACAAACATTGTGTTCCTTTTGCTTGCTGTTCTAGTACAACACTTATTAACACATTGAGGCAATGAAGGCATTCTTGTGGCAAGAAGCACTTCTGTGTACTGTATTTAAACAACTGTAAAGCTCGTCAAAAGTCACAACCACTGGCTTTTGACTCGTCTGACTTTGTTGTCCATGATCTGTCTGATGTAATACCCAGATTTCTTTAACAAGAATATTTACAGATGTAAAAAACAATCCAAAAACCAAAGCATTTGCTTAAGCAAGAGCAAATGGTACAGAATTATAAATATGTAAAAGTTCACTATCATACAAAACCTTTAAAAAAAATGAAACAGCTTTTTATAGGAAATACCAAGAGGCGTCAGCTTTCCCTGCAGAGTTGGATCTGATATAATATTTACATTGCATTTAGTAATTAATAGTCATGATTATCAAATAATTTAACATTTGCTATAAAAATAAAACTGACTGACTATGGCTTTTGTCCTGAAATATATCGTTTCCCGTTTTTAAATCAGTCACAGGATGTAATGTACCGAATTTCCCAGAGGAACCCACCCGAGGGATTAATAAAGTTTTATCTTATCTCTTATCTCTCTTATCTAATGTGCTTTTACTCCCAGAAGGTGGTGCTAATGCAGTTTGCAGCCACCATTGCACATAAATGGAAACTACCAACAACCCGAAAAGATGGAAAAGTCCAGCCATCAAAACTCTCTGTGAGTAATAAACGACAATGATGTCCAGCGCAAAATGGTCCAGGTAAAGCCAGCATTTGACATCTACAGGAAGTGGTGTCTGAAAAGGGCTGGGAAAATCATCAAAGACCCCAGTCACCCATCACATGGACTCTTCACCCTCCTGCCCTCTGGGAGGCGCCACAGGAGCCTCCAGACTAAGACCACCAGGTACCGGAACAGCTTCTTCCCCACAGCTGTCAGACTCCTGAACTCTGCCTCCTGACAGCTGACCCACGTTAACACATGGACTGAACATACACACACCCACAACCACCTACACACACACACATTGGACAACTGTATATTCTCATTCATAACATACTTCACACCGTGTACATATTACATACCACAATAGACCCATTTCTGTAATATACTTACATATCTATATTATTGCTAATATATATTGTAATATATCTATATCATGGCTAAAGCACTTCTGGATGGATGCAAACTGCATTTCGTTGCCCTGTACCTGTGACATGTGCAATGACAAAGTTGAATTCTATTCTATTCTATTCATTTTAGGGGTTAACCGTTCTGATACAGAATTTTCTTTTTGAGTTGCCATAATAAGACTGGTCTTGTTAAGGCCGTATTTAGAATGACATAGTGCAAAAGTGCAACCTTCTCTGAGAAATGCAGACAAAAATAACACAGAATGGAAAGAAAAAAAAGCTCTCACGTCGACTTGTAACAGAAAAGTGTAAGCCAAGAAGGAAAGGGAAAACATACAATCTTTTTGTCACAAATAACAAACTGTCATCAGTGTAAAGCTTTCTGTAGTATTTCCAGTATTTGCTTGTAAGCCTTGAAAAGCATAGCTCTTTGCAGATCTTTTACTCAAAGTGACCTTCCTGAATTGATTTTTAACTTCTCACTAGTACCAGAAAAATACACAATAAAGAACCCTGTTTGACCTCAACACCTGGAATGTCCAAAAAATTCAAAACTATGAAGCAAATCACAAGAAAACGAAAAGCAAAAACAAGTTAATTCATTTGGTACGACCAGTTATTTGGCGGGTTTTTCTGATTCGCTTGCATGTGCACGCTCTTTATGCTTATGAAGTTTTAACCAGGTGGAGAACTGTTCCCCACAACTAGTACATTTGTAGGGCTTCTCGCCAGTGTGCATCCTCATGTGTCCTTTCAGGTCGGTTTTGTGACTGAACGCCTTATCACACACGGTGCATTTATACGGTTTTTCACCTGTATGTGTTCTGGTGTGCCTTTTCAAAGTCGTGTTGGTAGCAAATTTTTTCTTGCAGTAGGTACACTTGAAGGGCCTTTCCCCCGTGTGCACTCGCAAATGATTCTTGAAAGCAGAAGAATCCGCAAACTCTTTACCGCACTCGTTGCAAGTGTAAGGCTTCTCACCAGTGTGGATTCGCATGTGCTTCTTCATGTTCACACAGGCGCTGAAGCTTTTCCCGCAGGTGCTACATTTGTAAGGCTTTTCCCCAGTGTGAACCCTGGCGTGCAGGTCGAGATTATAACGTCGGTTGAACCCGTTTCCACAGACGTCGCACTTGAAGGGCTTCTCGGCTGAATGAATCACTAAATGTTTATTTAAATCCCAACTTTCCCGGAACATCTTGCCACAAGTCTCACATTTGAACGTCTTCTCAACTGTGTGGCTCTTCATATGAAATTTGTAGTTTTTGAAGTTGGACATCACTTTGCCACACCGGTCACACTTGTAAGGATTTTCCTCATCTTTGGCATTACCACCATCATTCTGGCTTGATGCTTTTAAGCGTTTTTCACTTTCCCTATGTCTCTTCTTTTGTGTTGGATCAGTACTTCCACTTGATTTTTTGCTCCCATTGTTGTTTCTCTTACTGTGTCTTGCCTCTGTAGTTTGGGTGGATTCCCCACTCTGATCCTTATGTCTTTTCCGTTGTGTTGGGTCGGTGCTTCCTCCTGATGTTGCGCTCCCATCATTTTGTCTTTTCAGCAGTGCTGCTTCCTTACTACTTGAAGACTTTGCGTCTCTATGTCTATGCTTCTTTTGTTTTGTTAAATCCCTGCTTCTGGTTGATGATGTTCTCTGATGTGTAAGTTTCCTACTTGAGGTTGACGTAGTACTTGTAGTCTCATCACCAGGCATCTTATTTGGCGATGTTTCTGTACTTTCGGCCAATGTGGCTTCGTCACTGTTAGAATTCTTACTTTGTGCCATTTCAGTGTTTGAAGGAGAAGCTAGTTTTCCTTCACTCTGCTTCTTTTGTGCTAGGTCAGGACTTGAAATTGAGGATGTGTTCCCCTCAGTGGGTTCTGCCTGAACTGGACTTTCATTTGATGCTACCTGTTCATGGTCACTAGTCTTATTTTGAATTGGCTCAGTACTTTCCATTGATATGTCGTGACATGTAAAGTCTGGTGAAGGCTCAGTGATATCATTTGCGTCCCAGTCTTTATGCTTCTCATTTGGCATTAACTGAGGAGTTGTACTTGATGACATTTTTCCATCTTTGAGTTTCCTACTTGCAGCTAAATCAGTACTTCTGCTTGTTTTTTTCTTGCTGTGTTTCTTTCTAGATGCATACTCATCACTTGTAGCTGATGCTCTCTTACCACTGCTTTTTTCATATAGGCTGACAGATGAGCTTGATTCCCCATCGTGACTTGACTTATTTGCCGCTGGCTCACCATTCCCTTTTAACGGGGGGCTCGCTTGATCGTGTTTCTCATGTGGCGTTACATCGGGGCATCTAGTTTCTGTTGGGCTCTTTGTTAGTGTTTGTTCAGTGCTTTTTGTAGATGTTGTGTAGTCACCACTTTGTTTTGTGTTAGTCGTTAGGCCAGCAGTTGCAGTTGACGTTTCATTCCCATCTATATGTTTCTTGTTCGGTGTTGGCTCAGTACTCATAGCTGATGTGGTCTCACTATTACATCTTACAGTAGGTGTTAACTCAGAATTACTGGTTGATGATGTGTTTTCAATGTTACAACTTCTATCTGATGCTGGCTCATTGCTCTCATTGGTACACACCTGTCCTTCCTCTGTACCACTGTTTGCTGTGCTGCCTACATCATTGTTTTCCTTACCTAACGGCTGCGCTGCTGTAATAGCTGATGATGTGTCCGTATCGCCTCTTGTTGGTGTTTCACTTCCATAGTTACAAGTTATGTCAGCTTGACTCTCCCCTTCATCTGAGTTGTGACAGAAGAAATGGTTGTCATCATCTGGAGGTGGTACTGGAGAACTCTCTCTGTCACGTTCCTCTTCATTAGGGACACTGGGTTTGGGATCATTACTTGCAGCAGGATTCGTTTGGTCAGGACCTGAAGGCTGAGACTGATCACTGCGGACACTTTGATCAGTTGAAGCTGGAGTCACCTTAGGAGCAGCAGGCGCCTGCTGCTGTTTGAGCTGCTGTCGTTCCTGACTGATGCACATTTCCTCATGTTCATCTTTAATCCGTGTAATATCAGGCTGAACAGTGGAGTCACTCTGCTGCTGACTCAAAGAAGTATTTGCAAGATCTAGAGGGAGGAAGGAAAGAATGGGACAGTGTTTAAAATACAATTTTTTGGCTTATAGCCATTAGCTAAAAATGACACTTTCTGTATGTACATTGTTTATTAGTGATAGAATTTAAAAGCCATGCATCACCTTGAATGTGACAGCATTCATCTCTGTGGCAACTTATAAGGATTAAACTGCCGATAAAAACTGTAACATGCTTTTAAACCGTCCCTTAGTCGTGCTGCAATAGGCTTAGACGTTCTGGGGGACTTCCCATGATGCACTGAGCATTTCTGTTTCACTCACCTATCTTCACTCTGAGTGTTTATGTATCACAATTGCATTCAGTCATTAGTAAGTATTTAATTTTGGCTGGACATCTAAATGTTGAGGTTTGCATTGTAATACTGTAGGCTCTTTCCCTACAATGTAAAGCGAATCGACTTGGTTGTGAATTGGTGCTACATAAATAAAATCGAATTCAATTTTAAAGTTGTTGTACATTATTAATAATTGTATTGGTTTCTGAAAAAGGAGCAAAAAAAGTTTCATTCTGTAAAAAGCATTTCCAAATACAAAAATCAGTAGTGCTATAGTCACAAAGACAGAGACCTGTAGGTGGGTGTTTAGAGCTAAAGTCTATCTACGGAACTGATAAAAAAAACAAAAAAAAACAAAACAATAATTGTAGTATTCAACTGACCTCAACCTCAATAATCAACTGACTTTCATTTTCAGGATCTAAATTTAAAATTATAGGACTGTCTCTTTAAAATCTACAAAGCACCCAAGTGTAGGGAAACCAGACTCACCACCAAGCACACTAAAAACTATTCTCTGTGAGTTTAAAGGTATAGGCCAAAAATGTAGACGGCAACCCCAATGCAACCTCACCTAAAGGCATTATTTGGCACATCAAAAGTTATTTATCTCCTCATCTGATCCTGTGGACTTGTGCAAATCATTCATCTGTGAACTAAGAAGCAGAACAGGACAAGCCCCGTGCAGTCCAGGGAGAGACCGTGCAAATTACAGCTCTAATAATTAATGAGGATGTGTCCTCATCATCATTAACGACAACTGAGACACATACTAGTAAGACACTGGATACATTTTGTTCTAGCTGTTAAAATGAAACCTGCTGGGAAGTTTAAATGCAAAAATGTATTGATGTGATATGTCACCAAAAATAGTATCTCGGTATTGTATCTAATAACTCCGCTTAGTTGTTCATTTCCATTGCTTGCTGAGACACAGATGTGTTAATGATTGCCTTGTCCATAACTCATTACCCGCTCGACCTTACACGTGACATGAGACGACTTCCCCAAGACATGCATCATCTATATAAAGCTGGGCATACACTGTGCAATTTTTGGCACGAGTCGTGCGACCGTTTTGGCGATCGGTCCGATTTTGACCTTCATCGTGCGTCGTGCATCGTGTAGTATACGTGGGGTAACGAGAAGCGATTAACACCTCACGACCAGCTCCCGATCATCAATCGCTTGGTCGTGAGGGTGTCACCGCAGCTTCTCACACTGCGCACGCGCAAACACAAATGTCAGCGAAGAAGACGGCGCGGCACGGCAGTGCAGCGTGAGATCCGGACACAAGCGATGGAGGCACAACTTGTAGAACTATGGCAAGCTCATCCGAGCCTTTTCGATGAGGCCTCACAAAATTATCACAACAACCGTGAAAATAGTTGGGTTTACACTGCTGCTCAATCACAGCTGCAATGCTAATGTTTTTCATTAGCAATTTAGCAAAGTTGATGGTGGTGGTGTGCGTGTCTGTGTGAGTGAAAGGGAGAGCGAGCGAGCGACAGAATTTCTGTTATAACCTTCATTTTATGGACGCACAGTGTGAGCACTCAGGTCGCATCAGAGCATCGGGGCGTATACTGTGAGACCTGCATCGTGACCTACGAACATCTAACCCCTGCGAGTCAATCGTACAGTTTGAGCAGGAGCTGAATGGCGCGACTGAAAAAACCGCACAGTGTAAGCCCAGCATTACAAGGATCTTTGGTTCAGCTGAGGATTTGAGGACTTTGTGTCAGCTTTTGTTACATTACCGAGGTACAACATCCAGCTATTAAAAATAAAATAAATTGTGTAATTCAGTGGAAACCAAATGGTGCATTATACCTGTCAAACTGGTCTGACCACACATTGATCCAATTAAGAAATGAATATCCAAGGACTGATTCATTTTAACAAGTCATCGTTTCAAACATAACAGGACTCTTTACTGAGGAGCAAGGTAATCTGACCGACCTTTATCCTGCAACTTTATCTCCGGTGTGAACACCGTATCCAGCAGCCTGCGTTGACGTGCGATTTCTGACTCGTACTCTTCTACTCTCTTTTCAAACGCTCCCAGTATTTCTTGGGCAGCTGCTGTTAGTCGATCACAGACAAACTTACGCATGCTTTGAACGGGATACATTGTTACATCTAAAATGTAGACGCTTTGACTTCGAAGCTGCCTAAACTTGCGCACTTTTCTTTTAACTTCCGCAAGTGATACTGGGCGATATACACATCCTGTACCCGCTCACTACCACCACCTACTGTCCGGCGTGCAAAAGGCACGCATACATGCATATGTCACACTTACATGTTTCAAATAGTCAAAGAATTTTTAATATTAAGAAAAACCATTTATAAAAATAACTCGAGTAAATACAAAATGCAGTTTTGCAATGATCATTTCATTTTGTAAGGGAAAAAAGCTCTACAAACTTGCTCTCTACAAACTCTACAAACCTGGCCCTATGTGAAAAACAAATTGCCCACACTGCTGACCACAAAAAACACACAGAGTGATCTCATATTTCCTCCCAAAAACCCCTGAACACTGTTTTATGTACTTGTGAAATTCTTTCTATGGAACTGTAAAGAGCACTATGATCAATATTTACATATATAAAGCGATACAGTGGTTGCTTTAATTAAATAGTTTGAAAGAAAGATAAGAATTAAATGCATGAGTTTCTCGTTCCAGTATTACATGATATGATATGCTATTATATGATATACTACAGTATTGTTTGGACTGGCCACGTTGATGGCTGTGGAATTAAAACATGATGCTTTGATGTTTTTTAAGTGCATAACGGGAGGCATAGGTTAAGTTGTTATAGGTGCACAGATGCTAAAAACAGGTCATTTTGTGGGTCATAAGAACCTTGAAGCACCTAAGATATATGTGCGGGTCAAGTTTGGTTGATCACATCCTGAGCTTGTAGGACAAATTGGCAGACAGAGAAAGAAATACTAATACAAAGATTTTGTATATTATAGCTCCTCAAACCAATTCATGTTGCTGTGAGGAACAATTTGATGTTATGGAAAGATAACAGTGCTGTGGTGAGTGAAATAAAAATGCAAAACACACACAGGGATATAGTCAAACTGAGCATTTAGTGTAACATTACATAGATATACAATAATTTCAGGGCAACAAATACTGCAAAGAACAAAATAAACACAAAATGCCAAAGACTTTCAGACTGCATAGATGGCTCTGAGGATTCTTTTTGGTATCTAAATATCTATAAATGGAGATGAATACAGTAAAACAAGTTATATAGCCTAAAATACTGACTGGGCAATGCTACCTTTATTGTCTATTGTTACTTCAATAAATCAATCCCCTTAACTAATTTTAAACAGCAACTATTAACTTCCTTCATTAGTTAAACAACACGCAAGTTTGATAAAGACATAAACATGTTTTACATTTAGATCCAGCATCATGTATCTTAACTGTTTTTCTCTACAGTACACGTTACAAGAGGTTAGCTAAAATCAGCCCTTGCTATGTGCTATATATATATGTAATAGTGTATACTGGCGTGCAAATTTACTAAGTGAAAAGAAGAGAAGAGAAAAGCTAAAAAAAATAAATAAGCAAACAATACTGTAACTTCTGTAAGTATTTCAGTTTTGTTTTTTCTACCATTTGTTAACAGGGAAACTGTAACGCTGACAAGTAAAAGGCTTTCTTCACTGTGTTACCATAAAGTAGAAACATTCACATGTAACCTAATGAATGCTAGGCTGGCCTGAGGTATGTAGAGCAGCCTCAGAATAAAAACAATAAAGGCAGATATAAATATGTTGTAATTAAGAAATTCATGTTGAGGGTTTCAGTGCTTTCAAAAGTTCCACAAAGCATCTCATTCACAATTACAGCAGAAATACACTGAGAGACAGCCTGCTGTACTGCATTTCCTTTTAAATGATATAATGGATCAATAATCAGGAGCAATAAGCTAAACAGTGACTTTTTGTAATGAGAAACACCAAACATAGTCTGGCTCTAACTGCTAAACTTGTAACTGGGAACATTTCAATCCAATCACCTTGTGTCACACTGAACTGTGCACATTTTTGCTCCTCGCTAAACAAAATAAAATATCTCCAAACATCAGCTGGAGTTGTATGAAATTGTGATGGGTATTTCGCAACACTGTTACTAGATACTTTTACTTTTGGACTTTAACAAACAAACAACACCAACACAAAAAAGCAATGAAGTTACAAAACAAATATTCATGAGCTCTCGAAAAGAAGACGTACAGTTGCATACGAACATTCAGGCACACAGAGGAAAATGGCGTATACTGTTACAATTAGAGATATTTTATTTAATACAGACACTGTGGCGTGTGCATGTCTTCTTCTAAAGGCAGGAACTCTAGGCCTTCGAAGCCAGCCGAAGCAGCAAGTGGTATTAGTTTGCCAGCTGAAATTTGATCAGCTGACAAATACTGTGAACAGACTTGTAAAAAGAATTTATACGATGCAAGAGATGGATATAAAGACATGAAGGCACTTCAAGCATGAAAATCTACTATTCCAAACCCTTATGTGTTTGAAAAGGAGCTGCAGGAAGGTTTTGCTGACACGTGAGTGAATGAGCATCATGCATCACTGAGACCTAATATGCCAACATGGTCCTGACGTACACCCTCATAACAAAAGTCAACATCTACAGAAGTCATGTGGTGACTGGGTCAAGAAATCAAAACTGGGTTTTTGCAGCTACAGTCACCAAAGACATGTTTGGAGACAAGGAGGAGCAGCTTTTCATATATCAGACCCCCACAACCAATCTGCAAGGCAGAGCGAGGGGAAAACAAATCATAAATCCCTTTTACAGTCCCCTCTAAAAATCCGCTGTGGCTACGCCTTGTGTCAATGTAGTTTTCTACAAGTGGGACTTTTCCATCTGTGCTCAACGAATGAGTGTGCCATGACCCATTTGTGCCCACAGCTGATGGTTCTGCCTTATTTGTGTATCCCCTAAACAGGTTAATGCTTTTTAAAAAGTCCTAACACTTATTATCAAATGTAAGCATTGAAGTATAAGACTGAGGTGTAATTAAATATTAGTGGTTTGTTTTAGTCTTGAAGTGAAAAACTGAAACTCTATATTGTATCTATATTTGCATATACAAACACTTACCGTAGTCGAACGAATGCAGCCTTAGATACCGTATCAAGCTTGATGCATAAAAGAATCATTTCACATAATTGCTGCACACAAAATTATAAAATTATTGCCTGTGCAGATTTTGCGTGTGCTGTTTCTTTTACATATAGTCTGGCAAACGTCTGGCTTCACACATGGACTCTAATTACAAGATAGCTGCATTTGAAATGTCACATATTTTGCAAGAATACGGTTGCTCGCCCGTGTGTTTTTTTCATGTGAACCAACAGAGTAGAACGACTCCTGAGACATTTCCCGCATGTTTTGCAAGAAAAGGGCTTCTCGCCTGTGTGGATTCTGACATGAGCATCCAGTATTGACTTCTGATTAAATCTTTTACCACAGATGTTACAAGAAAATGGCTTCTCGCCCGTGTGAGTTCTTTTATGGACGTTCAGTATTGACGTCTGGTTAAATCTCTTTCCGCAAATGTTGCAAGAATACGGCCTCTCGCCTGTGTGGATTCGTTTATGAACGTTCAGTATGGATGTCTGATTGAATCTTTTACCACAGATGTTGCAAGAATATGGCCTCACGCCCGTGTGGATTCGCAGGTGTCTGATTAATTTGGAATTAAATGGAAATGTTTTTCCACAAGTGTCACATTTGAAAGACTTTTTGCTTGCGTGTGTTTTACAGTAATTCATCAACATTGCAGGATTATGTATATGATTGCCTTTGTGACTTATCTTCTGTGGTTCTGTCTCTGCATTTCCAATTGACATACAATCCTCAGGCTCGTCTTCTTTGTCAGGGCTTTTAGATAAATAGGAACTCTGAGAAAAGAGCTGGTGGTTGGTATTTAGCTCTGCTTCCTCTGAGGTTTTAATAGATATTTTGACTAAGGAATGTTTTTCTGTTGCACTTACTAATTCACTCGGAATCAATCTCAAAGTCTGATCTTCAGCGTTGTCACCTTTCTCATAAGTAAGAGGCACAATGCAAGTATCAGTCTCCTGCTTCAGTACAAGATGCTCTCTGTCCTGACTAGTGCAGAGTTCCTCTTTAACCTCTTGATCCAACCTGGGGTTCCTCTCCTGGAAAATGGGCTGCTGGTCAGAGGCAAGAACCTCCTCCTCTTTACAGGCAAGCTGATATGGGAGCTCTGGAGGGATAAGTGAAACAAACAAACAAACAAACAAACAAACAAACAAACAAACAAAAAGTTACACACTGACAAAAACTACACAGATTTTGCTACCCACCTAAAAGTTCATAAATATTCCATATACTGGTGTGTGCAATCCAATGTCAGTAACAGAAAAAAAGTAAAATAAAGAAAACTACCCAATAAAACACGTTTGAGGTGGAAGGGATTTGAAACAAATAAATAGCATTGTAGTTGCCGCTCAATTTCATGTTGCCAAATCTGATATTTTAAACAATGTTGTAGAATAAATTTCAGATTTTCTTCCGTTTTGATTGATCAAAAAACTAAAACATTTAAGAATAGAAAAAAATGCTTAGCAAACACCGACTCCCAGTTTTTCTCTCACACTGACAAAGATTATAGACTGAGGTCGGTTCGACACGTGCTGTGGTAATAGAGGCACGTTCATATTCCCATCCTCACAACCCTGTTGGGATAAAGAAAACAAACTAATAGGACTTTAAACGAACAGGATCTAATATAAGTCTAAAGCCTCCATTATTTAACTGCAAATTATATCAAACGTGTAATTAAGGTGTTGCGGACCTATCCTGGGTAACTTCACCGCAGGTTTGCAGACGATGTCCAGCAGCCTGCGCTGACGGCTGATCTCTTCTTCGTACTCGAGGATAGTTTTTTCAAAAGCGCTGAATATTTCTTCAGCAGCAGCAGCTAGTCGCTCGTTGAAAAACTGTCTAAAATGCTGAACTGAAGGCATTATTGCCTTGTTACACATATATTGTTCCCACGCACAAGTCGATGTTTACGCCACCAGCCCAGTTTCTGTTTACTTCCGCTCGGTGTCACACTAGAAGATCCGGCTTTGGAAGCGAGTTCACCCTTTCATTCCTCTCCCTCCTAGTAGTTGATGTATTCCAGTCGCTTTCACGGGGACTTTTAGTTATTTTTTTCTGCGCTGCTGTAATTATACTACGTATCTTTAAGACACTTGGCATGAGGTAGTTTCGTTAAAATGTAACGGTGGACATGCCTGAGCATCCACTCAAAGCAAATGTCTCATTAGTAGTTCTCTTTCTGAGCATGAATACTGCTGCCGTCTTTGATCTTCTCACTCTCCACGTTACTTCCATTGGCTCGTACAGTGTTCCGACACTGAAAGTCAGGCAGCTCTTCGTTCCGCCTTTACTTGTTGCCTTTTCATTTAGCAAGAAGGCTGTGCCTCTACTATCTATGATCTTACTCCGCTTTTGGTATATAGTCTACTTTAAATATGATCAATATTCATAGTACTAAAAGTCTTTTCAATGACTTTTGAAAGTCTTAACACAAAGCCCGTTCCTCTGCTTCAAGGGGGAAGTATTTCTGGACGGAACTACGTCCTGCAGCAAAGGCTAACTTACGCTAAGCTATGAGGGGTAACTGCTGTGGTGAAGGGGATACGAGATAAACAAAGATAAAACTGTTACGTTTGGTTTTAGGTCGGATCTGGTTTCATCTCGGTTTCGGTATATGTTTGGTAACTTCCACAGAATCTAAATGGGTGCACACTACTGTGCAATTTGTAGACAAACAACATTCAACGGGAAGGGACACATTTTCGGAAAAACTCATCAAAGTAGACTCAGAGTGGTTCTCCTTAAATTCACAGAAAAGGTATGCAGATTGTAGATTTTTTTTTTAACTGATATTTGATATTGAGAGTAGTCTGTGTTTTGTGCAGCATGATCTGACCCTGGTAGAAGTGATGGAGGCAAACTTGTTAAAATCCTAGATTGAACTCTTTTCCTTCTGAGTAACATTAAAAAGTATGATTCCCAAGTTGTGTAGCGAAATATTGTGAGTCCATTATCTTCTTTATTATATGTATATGATTTTAAGTCTACAGAACGGCCACCATGAGGTGCGTCAGTATTCATAATAATCATAACTCTAATACCACCAGCACGTCACGCGTAATGTGCCCTGCTTCTGATTAAGTAGCTTGAGGTCATCCTTTCATATCTAATGCACGATACAACTTAAATAACTTTAAACCATCATAATTATTATTATTAATATTATTATTATATTTTTCTGATTGTGTATTATATATTTTAACAATTTGTTTTTACTCGATATACAACATCTGTATATATCATTATGATATTACCGTTATATTTCTTTGAAATCGGACAGTAATATAGTCTGATTTATTATCATGTATATTACATATATTTTTCTTTATCAGTAAGGATTCAGACTCGTTCCCTAAAACAATTTATTTGAACAAATATTTAAACAGTTCATTTACATATGTCCTCAAATACTGTAATGTACATACTTCAGGGCTTGCAAAATCGCTAGCCCGACGTCCCGGGGCTAGCGATTTTTCCAGTCGGGCTACCAAAATCTATCTCTGCCCTGCCCGTCTGGGCTATTGTAGGAAGGAAAAATATATGTCAATGCTTTTGCATTCTTTCGGAAATGTAGCTGGGTAATTATGTCATTGGCATCGGTGAGCCACTGTCAATATGTGACATATTGAAATCGCGTTTGAATTTGCGCTTGTTTTTTGCTTTCACTTTGCAATCGCACGAACTGTGTATAGAGAGCGACAGCACTGATTGGTGAGTGATGATAATTTGCGCACCAATTCCTCTGACATCGTCTTATAATCGTTAGCTTACTATGCAAACATGACAAGTGAAATCTCCCGCAGCAAGCTTAAACATGTGAGAGGTTGATCGCGCAGAGAATCGCTGTGTGAGTGTGTGTGTGTGTGTTTGTGTGTTATGTGTGTGTGTGTGTGTGTGTGTGTGTGTGTGTGTGTGTGTGTGTGTAAAAGCAGCAGGATATATATTTTAGTTCTGCTGAGCCAAATAAGACAGGTCAGGGTGAAGAAGTGACAGCCAAAGAAAAGCTTACCACAAAACGGAAAGTTATGACAAATCAGACTATAAGGCAAAAAGAAAGTGCAGCTTTATGGTTTCATGGACAAAATAATTTCTGTGGCTGCAATATGACGAGCTATATAACCAGGGCTGCACATAAGTGGTCCGCAGGTGCGCATTCGCTGTCAAAAAAAAAAAAAACGCGCACAAGATATGAAGTTGCAACGCGTGTTTGCATACATAAGATTTTCTGGAGGAGGACAGACATTTGTTTAGAACTCTTAAAGATGTCGAAGAAGCTCCTTTAAGCAATTACTTTGGTGTTCCTCCACCTCCAAACAAATGTCAGAAGGAGTCCGAACCACAAAAGAAGCACGTATTCTCGGAAAAGTGGTTGCAGGAGGTGAGCTGGCTTCAAACAAATGATGAACGCACAGAGATGTGGTGCGGAATGTGCCGTGAAAATCCCACTCTAGCGGACAAAAACAGTGCTTTGCAACTTCTTATCTGGTGCGCGTCTTTTATTTTGACAGCGAATGCGCACATGCGGACCACTTATGTGCACCCGTGTAAATAACATAATGTTCTGCCGGGTGTGTTGTTGGTTTTCTCTCGATTTCTGAGTCGACAAGCGCCTTTGTTACTGGGACCAGTCATTTTAAGAAAGGCCCCCATTAGAACCCATGAGAAATGCAAGAAATGCATTATTGCTCAGTCTGCAATATCTTTCCCAGAACAAACACCAATTGCAAATAACATACTAAAAATAAACCTGAAAAATCTGTTTAGAACAGCGTACTATGTTGCAAAGAGTGAACTACCACTGGCAAAATTTAGCAGTCTTTGCAAACTTCAAAAAGCAAATGGCCTCGATCTTGGTTCCACTTGTCTCTTACCCGTGACTTCAGTGGAAATTTCAAATTCAGGATCTGACACAGACTGATTCATGTCCTACACAGTTCTTACAAGTTCATAGAAATTTCTGTTCAATTAGAACCAAGTATTTGAGTTGATGATTGTAATTTTTATACAATGTTGTAATTTGTTTTTCAACAATTTTTTGATTAATGTTTTGTTTCCTTTACAATATTATACTTTAATGTATAATATTGTAAAGGAAACAAAACATCAATCAAAAAATTGCTCTCTTTTTTATTCGGGCTACTTAAATTTATTTTGGGCTACCAAAAACTGAAGAGTCCCTGCCCGAAGGGCTACCAGGGATTTTGAAATTTTGAGAGCCCTGTACTTGCATAGTATGTCTTTGCATATCAGTAAATTTGGTCTATTTTTTTTGTATGTACACAGTAGTTGGAGATTTGCACATGTTAGTAGCAGTTTGGGGATTTTCTTGTTATTTATTCCTGTCCTTTTTTACCAGTGAAATAAATACATCCTCATTATAAAGTTGTTTTCAAGTCTTTGAGAGTTTTATCACATTATCTTGTATTTAGCCAATGCAGCCTTGATCTAAAACAACACAAAATCGACAATAAACACTGACATACTGCCATTAGTAAATGCCATCTTATTTAGAGATGGGAATCAACAAGGCCAATCTGAGCTGTTTAAACGTCCTCTGTGAACTACTGTTAGCTTTTCCTGAATCAGCTCTTTTAGTTCTTTTGTTTTGTAAGCATATATATAAATATATAACCCTATATAATTCAACAGCACCACAAACTACACTCTCCAAACTGATTATATATATTTTTTTAATTTGTATTTTTTAATTTGAATAATAATAAAAAGTAATATTTAAATGCAACAGTAGAATTGTGTGAAACTGTTTTAGCTCCAATCAGAGTCTAACTTTGTCAGTTTTCTATGTCTGCTTCATCCACTGTCTCCCAGGTGAAGGAAGCTCGCCGAACACTTAAGAAACCCCAAGTAGAAAAGTTTGATTGCACCCAGCACAAGCAGACATTCTGGTGCTACTGCTGTGGGTGTGAAATTGAGAAAAACGTTACAGATGGCAACATGACTGTCCTTTATGGAGGCCTGTTAGAACACATGGCCACGTGAGTCTTACTTATAAGGTTTTATTCACTGTATTTTGTTTTGTCTGGAACCATTTTGATTGCCTTTGATTGCTCAGATTTCTTCAATTTCCTTTGCTGTTTTAAAGCAATCCATGTCTGGAAAAGTGTTTTAACACATTTTCAAAAAACTGTTTTTTTTTTTTTTTTCATATAAACTGCATTTAAATGCGTATTACTTAACTGGCTGTGTATACACATGCTGTTGTAAAGAAGAAGGATAGGGTTAATTGCTTACGTGTGATGAAACAGGAAAGATCCTTAAGTGACTGATAAGACACAATCAGGAAGAAAACGCTGACGCCTGAATTACTGTTTCCATTTCTTCCTGTTTATGTGCCAACTTGCAAGTTGAGTTTTTAAAATATCTTGAAGATGTTTCCCAAACCTACACATGCAACAAAAATATGTAATATGTCCAGAGGTCACCAAGACCCATTTGACCACGAAAGATACATTTCTCAAACATTTGCTGAATGAATATAGTACACCTGCTTTATTTTTTCATATAAATTTATATGAGAGTGTATTTAAAGTTTTTCAACTATATTTTATTTCAGCCCAGAACACAGGAAGAATACACACAAGTTCTGGTGGGACAATAAAGCTGACCCGAAGTTTAGAGACAAAGTCATCGTCACAGAAGAGGAAACGGAAAGGTAGACCTACTGAGCCAAACGTATTCAGACATTATTAAAGTTTGTTTGTAAAATTAAATGTATCTGCATTGACTGTTCTGTATTTTTCTTTAGGTTTAAAGTTGAGGTGGCAAAGGCATTGGAATCATTTGTGGAGAATGAGGATGAATACATTAAACAGGTATTGCAACATTGTTTTTAAATGAACTACATATAGCATTCTGTTTTTGGAGTAGTGAAGCACAGTATTGATAAATGCTAATATAGTTACATATATAGAGGTGTTTTAAATGTTCAGTTCGATTTATTGCTGAATTATCCAGCATCTCAACATCTGAAAGTCAGCTCTGAAATGCAGATGTAGTTACTTAGAGACTGTTCTCATCCATAGAGTCATTTTTCAGCATTATTAGTGTCTTAAGGAAGGGTACATTATCCAGGTTTGAAACCTTTTGTTGGTAATTATTTTTTGTTTTCTCTCTTTTTTTGTGACTGCAGCATGCTGAGCATATACGAGCCCAGGAAAAGCATCGCCAGGAGGTCTTACAGTCGCTTTTAGAGGTTTGTTTTCCAACGATGCTGTGGCAGTATCCATCACTGTGGCATTAACTGGTGTTTGTTTGCACGTAAGATTGCAAATTCCACCATTCTTCAGCTAAATAATTGTAGGCTCCTGTTTAACTCTTGAAGAATAGTGTGGCTGGTTAACCTTTTGGTGTAAGAAGAAGGGCACGAGGTTTATATTAACATTTTTGGTAATGTTGTGTGTAAGGATTGTGATGATAAAAGCTGAAATGAAACATAATTAGATGTCAGACTTCCTCTGTGAACCACTGTTGGCTTTTCCTGAATCAATATCAGCGTGATGCAGAGCCTGAGTTGTTAAACGGACCCAACGGCACAGACTCATCTGTAGAGAACTCTGTCAGGTAAACCATTGTCACATCTGCAACACTGTAGCTATTCTACACTCTCATCAGTCTCACTTCAAATGACTTGTGTTTTTGTTTGGGGATCACCTTGTCCTTTGGGCAACAGCTCACAGTTTATGTGTCAAGGATCAGACCAGCAGGCGGGGAGCAGCTTTGTGGACTCGATGGGTGAAATGCCGTGGACTCCAGCAGGACACGGCCTGACATTCATAGGTTATCAGGTAGACTGGCAGCTTTTATTCAAAAAGTATTCACTCATCTATACATATATATGCAATGTTATCATACAAATGCAATGACCTCACATGAACGCTTTTTTTCTCTCATACAGGATTCATCGAACAGTGGAAACGTTCATACAGGTACTGTGATGTATGACTTGAGGTGGCGGTGAAAAAAAAATATATATGTGGTTGTGCAAAACAACTGCTTTTGAGAGTTACGCAGAACTTTTACTGTTCCTGCTATTTATAAAACGAATACATATAAATTCAGTATATATACTCACTGGGAACATTATTAGATTCTCCTTGCTAGTACCTTAATTCCTGGTAGCATAGATTCAACAAGGTGCTGGAAAGATTACTCAGACATTTTGGTCAATATTGAGATGATATCTTGTGATCTTGTCCCCAAACTTGTACATCAGACATCTGCTTAGTCATATTGCATGATGAATTAAAAATAAGTGCTTAATGATGTTGACCTAACTGCATTGTGTATCAGTGGACAAACCTTGGTTTCTGTTAAGCTAATACATTGTTTACTGGTTTCCTGTTGTGTTTTTCAACCTTTCTGAAGCTTCTGCATGAAACTATTTTGTCTGCTTGATGAAGCATTTTAACCTGTGTGTGCTGTAGGTGCTGTCCCTCCTTGGCTCCAAGATGATCCTGTAGAAGGGACCTCCAGAACTGCTGCAGAGCCAGAGATTGGCCCATCACTCCACGAGTTCCTCAAACATAGTAAGGACGATGCTATCATCAAATGACATGTAGCAGTGTCAAGCATTTGTTGCATCACTGTCATTTATAAGTAGCATTTTCGTAAACACTAGAGCTACAATCATGAAGCTGCTGTTGCTGGAGTTAGTGTGAGGAATTAAAAATAACATATCCACATAGACTTGTATAAAACCAGTTAAAAAAATCTGCCTGTAATGGGAGTATAATGACATCTCGCTTTTGCCAGAGGAGCAAGAGAAGCTGAGGAAGCTTCCTCCGAACAGAGTGGGGGCCAACTTCGATCACAGCTCACATACAGACGCCAACTGGCTTCCTTCCTTTGGTAGAGTGTGGAACAGCGGTCGACGCTGGCAGTCCAGGTTAGTTGACAAAGCTCTTCATTGCACCTGGTTTCCATATATGGTGTTTTGGGACATGTTTGGGCAGAGGAATGACTACAGAGACAGGAGAAAATATCATTCAGATATTTTCAGTGTTTTATGTTTGCACTGTTAGCCAATAGGCCACATGATCCTCAATGTGTCTAAAATCTATGGTGTTTATATTTGTGTTAAATTTGCTTTCATGGGGATGAAATCATGCTATCACTTTTTAAATGTTAAAGATCTCATCAACACAAGGGAAATATAGCCCACCTGTTTAGATTCATACAGAAGATCAAAATATTGTTTAATATCCACCAGATTCTTGTCGGCAAGATGCTGATGCGTTAAACGTTTTAAAGTATGACAGTCGCACGCCAAAATGACCGGTGATGTAGGAAAAGCTGACCTTCAGTGGACTTCATCTTATCATTGTTGTACTGTAGAAGATGACTTGAATACTAACACCATTTACTGCAAGTCAGACAATACTAAGTTTTGTTTCTGCATTTTTTATTTAGTGTGTAATTTTGTATTTTATCACCTGGAAACTCAGGAAAGCTGCAAAAAAAGCCTGAAACAGTTTAGCACTTTACTGCTGAGCCAAATTTGTCCATATAGGTTTTTTTCTGTTATTTGAGATTCAACTCAAGTAAATTAGCTTCTCTTGTCAATGCATGTGAATATGTTTTTGTTTTTCCCACAACAGGCACCAGTTCAGGCAAGAGGAAGGGCAGAAGCACAGACAGAAGAGGAGGAGGGAACATGGCACAGAAGGGTCAAAGAAGATAAAAACAACTGATCAGCTGAACACTTAATATTTAGCATGGCGTGTGAGAATAGAGAAGTGATAGTGATGTATATAGTGTGTGACTTGTTACTTATGGTTATAATGAGTGTTTAAGGAGCTGGACTGGAAATGTTTAGGTTGATAAGACACCTGTACATGCATGGCAGTACATGTAATTGTATTCAAACATCTTTTCAAAAACCCAAATTTCAAGTATTGCTATAAAGACATTAATTTTGTATTATAAGTATTGGCTATTCTTTATTAAAGAAAAGTAAGCTCTGTTTTTTGTTTTATTCTTTAATAAAAAAAAAATTAACTGCATGTTGCACTTATAGTATAAGTGAGGAAATTCACTTATTTAATCAACTGTAAAGACTTTTATCAAGTCCTGGATTCTGATCAGCAGTTTGCTTATGCTTAGATCTGAGGGCAATACGACTGTTACAGCAAGTAAACAGAAGGGGGCGCAAGGAGCTAAACTAAAAAGCACCTTTGTGTGCCAAGATGAAGCTAACACAGGCATGGTGCAGTTTGTCATTTTTAATGATAAGGTTCTTTTCTGTCTTTATGTGACAGGAAAATGTATGTGATTGAATACTACTGTGCTTGTTGAAGCAATGCAACTGTGAAAAATAATACACATAATAATAACAGCTGTTTTTACCAAATAATAAGGTTTCATTTCCTTTTTCAGAGAATGAATTACTGGAAAATGTTTGCAGACACCGCATGCAAATTTTGTCGCTTTTGGATAAATGTCTTTAAAAAAATCTGTCATGACTCCACCTTTGTGGTCCCATGGCCAAAACTAAAAATAATCATGCACCAAAAATATTCTGTTAATGGGAAATTTCAAAAAGAAGTTGAACAAATGATTGATACAGCAGCACTTCCTCTTGCAGTGCATTATAAATACACCAATGTTAAATATCACCTTTATTAACGCAGAACAGAGAGCACTGTGACGGTATCATAACATTAGTTGTTATGTGGTTACCACCATAATACCCATCAAGTGTACGCTGGATCTGAGAGTAATATATGAACAATAACACATCTCTATTGTGTGCCTGTGCATAAAGTTCAGATAACTTTTAAAGAACATAGGAACGCTCATATGAAACTCGGAAAAGGACATTTTCTCTTTGCCATGCACAAAGGGGAGTAATCCAATTTTCCTCAACACATGTAATTATGTGGTGCACGTTTTTTAAACTCGTGCATTAATTATTTTTTGACAGATTAGAATTGTGTGGTAATTAAAATAAGAATAAATGACTCATTGACTGATTTAGTAATTTTGAGTTTATTCAGTAACAGACACTGGGTTTATTACTAAGAGATAAAGTACTGAGAAATAACAGCCAAGAGCATCAAACTCAGTATCCCATAGTCCAGGCGCAGAGCTTAAACGCAGTCTTTTTTTTTTATCTTTTTAGGCTGCATCGTCGTCACAGAACAGTATAATCAGGCCCCAGTGTACTCTGGGTAGTTGGGCGTGGAGTTCAGTGCAGCTGCAAGGGGATACATGTTGCTGAGCTATTCTTAGCTCTGTGACAACATGCTGATTTAGAGCAAATGGAAGGAAAAGAAGGGGGTTACCTACAGTACTGAGAATTTAACCAGTGCATAAATACAAAAATAACTAAATGAATTACCACGCATCCGTGACAGTAATTACTAAAGTCTTATTTTTTAATTTTAATTTCGTGTCATGTATTATTTTAAACACTAATGGATAAAACAACTGTCGGAGCTCCAGCACAAAAAGCTATCCTTGGCACTGAAGACTAGGAGGGAAGAAAATGCACGTGTACTGGGCGGCTCTTGGGGTAATCCTTAGGCCAATCAGAGAACAGTATGTTTGAATAAATCTGCATAGTTTAAAAAACTACAAGTGATGATTGGCTAAGGAAAATCCAAGCGGCGAATCGCTTAAATGACAGGCGCTCAGCTGGTGAATAAGCCCCGCCTTTGGTATTTTTACACGCAAACCCCGGAAATCCTGTTACTTAAAGGGACAGAGGAGGAATTTAAGGCAAAGGCTGAAACAACGAAAACAGCTGGGAGTGCACGAAAAAGACTGGCACAGAGAGGAAGGGAGTTAGCTTTGTTAGCTAACAAACTATTTGGACTATAGAGTGAGAGGACGAGTTCAAGACTGTCCGAATATTTTACCTATTTGATATACGTGGTTAATGTTGCTAACATCTTTTAGCTTCGAAGTCGATTTTCGGCCCATAACATCAGCTACCTAGAAACCGACAACGCAGCAGTCAACACGGCAGACAGACAGTAGAAAGGCCAAACTCCCAGACTACACGGACGTCACTTCAGACTGCCTGGCTGTGTTTGATAATCTGAGTCTATATTTTTCGTGAGGTGAGTAGACTTCGAAATCTTGAAATGTGGCTGGTTGCCTTCCCTTTAATCTTCTGCATTGTGTGTACTTTAAAGGTAGGGGTGTGTTGAAATGGGTTAAGTTATATCCTTTGCATTGTGATCATTCATAGAGATTCCTTATCATAATTGGGAGTCTAGCAGAAGAATGAGCGAAATCCAGCCTGATCCAGCTGATGACCTGACAGTAGCTTGCATGATGTAGGGGGCGTTCCCCTGCTTTGTCTGCCTTCCTCACACTTTCTTTATGTGTGCACGGTCTGCATTGGTTGGGGACAAAGTGCTAGAATTTCCCAGTGAAATCCCAATGCATAAATCAAAATTAATAGTGTGCGTGGCATTAAAATGATTATGAGATAAAACGGTTTTTTTTGTTTGTTTTTTTTATTGTAACTGCACACTGTGCTCCTGGGATTGTGCATATATGGGCCAGGCAAGAAGGATCAACCAGCAGCGGTATATCTGTGAGATTGTGACTGTAGCTCAGCGGGTGGAGTGATGATGAACATTGTACAGCTAATAGAAGAGGGCATATAACTGATATAACTGCAGTCGGTGTATTGTTCCCTTGGATTGCACTTGGGAGTTGCATTGCATCATGCATTGAAGAGTATTGATGATGGCACAGAACCTTTGTCACATGCATATGCAAATAAATAAATAAATATATAAATGTAACAAATCAATGAGTCCTATATTGCACTGTTAATATGCTAGCTGCAGTGCACCATCTCTCATTGTCCTGACAAGCAGAGCATGAAGGCAATGACATACACATTAGGCATGTGTGTGCAGTCTCACACTGCATCATCTATAAAGAACACGTGCATATGGGAAAACAGCAGCTGTCTTACATGTATGGAAACTACAGATTTTTGCACACACTGCAGCACCAAATACAGCTGCGGCTCATTATTCTTCTTCTCTTGCTTGTCCATGCATTGCTCTGACAACCACCCCCCACTATTCTGTCTGGGAGAAAGCAGTGGGCTTTTGTCCTCAGCTGAGTGTGACGTCATGTAGATCTTTGCTGTATCCAGCCCCGAAGGCAAGATGCATGTTGTTCAGCAGGCCTGGGTCTGGGCTTGTCCCATGCTCAAACACCTTTTACTTAAGTTCCCTCATGCTTAGGTACACAAGGAAAATTAAAAAAAAAAAAAAGAAAACAAACACAAAATGAATTCAGTCTATTCAGGTGAGATAGAGAAACTTGGATAATCCTCTCACATTCAAAGAAAAGGAAGAGAGGGAGTGATCAAATACAAGAATGGATAAGTATATCAACCTCCATGCATGAAAAGAAAATAGCCAGAGGAAAGCCCCCGTTGTGTTGTTGGGGTTTTTTTCTGCTTCAAAAAATTTAGCAACCAACACATTCAGCCAAATTAAATGAAATCAAATTGCATGCTTCTGTGCATACTAAGCAGGCAAGAACGTTGAGTTAAGCAAGAGTAGGATCATTGAGTAACAGTCTGTTTTTCAATGGTAGTTTGGAGGGCCACCAGTATCTATTTAGGCTAAGGGAATGAATGGTTCTGTCGGAAGAGAATAAAATAAAGTCCACAAAAACAACATTACATACTTTTGCATACACTTTATCTTTGAGCAAATCAAAAATAACTTTTGTATCATTTGTCTTATGGTGGTTTTCATCTTTGATTGTTCTTTAGCATTTCTACCTGGCAGCAATTTGATTGTCTGTGTAAAAAGTGGGGGTGGCTATTAAATGCGTTGAGCAGATGAAGGCTTGTTGATGAAGGCTTGTTGTCAGCTCTCCAGTGTATCTCAGCAGGATTTGATGCCAGAGATTACAGATGATTGTGTGGGTTAGATCGAGTACTCAGCACTGCTCTGGGGCTATATTGATCTCTAGTGTGTATGTGTGACTGAGTGTGCCCAAGCACGACTGTGCTCTATCCTTATGGGAGCTAAATTATGTTTATTGAATAACAATAAACAAAAAAATACTAGGCATAAATTATTAGCTTTAAGAAAAGAGGAATGCAACAAATAAATTTAGATAATAAGTATGCACAAGAATTTGATGTGACTTTTGGTACTAAACCACAGAAAGCAGTGACCAGCTGACAGGAATAGTGTTTCTCATTTTAAAATGCAGGGAGACTACCACTGTTGGGTCCTCTGAATAGAGTTTTCTTTTCTTCAGTGTCACTTTGGGATTCTACTTGATAATTAAAAAAAATCTATATGCAATGGACAAGATCAAACACAAGGATGAAATCTCTGTGATCTCAGGTCGTCAGGTAGCACTGCACTGGTGGCGCATATGACTCTGGAAATGACTGCATAGGCTTGGGAATACTTCTGACAACCACTATCAGTATAACTAAACATGATTCATCCCCATATGGAAAAGATATATATAAATCTTATAACGTTTGTATCTGTCTTGTGTGAAACTTGTATGAAAAGCATACAAGAGTGAAAACAGATATAAGATCCCTTGAAAAATTATATAATGAAACTTGTATGTTTTGGATACTTACTAAAACAATATATGAAAGTAATGAGAAAGTGGCCACTTTCATGAGTAAATCATATAAGTTTTTACTATTTCTTTTCCATATGGTTCATACATCTGAAGTCAAAATTCTACAACACAAAAGAAAACAATAATAATAATACATTTTATTTAAAAGCGTCTTTTAAGACACCCAAGAACACTTAACAATAGAATGAAACACAGGACAATGTCAAGACAAAGAACAATAAAAAAATGTGAAAAAATAAAATAAATAAGATCGTCTCTGGGACTGACTTCATTTATAAAGAACGGACTAAAGTTTAAAACTATCCTGTGATTTTAATAACCAAAGTATTCTTTTTTTTCTTTTTTTTTTTTTTTAAATCTATGATTATTTTTCCCAAGGCTAAATAGGAGAGGCCACAGTTCAAAAGCCAGATTCTGTAACAGCGTATGAATCAATTAGTGCATATAGCCTGGGTAAGTTGCACATCTATGACGGTACCATTAATGCCATCCATATATCTCTTTCAGGGAAGGCCTTCAGTATTGCATAAAGATGATGTACAACCTCACTCAGAATGAGGAAACATTTTTGTTTTTAAATGTACAGCAGCTGGGCTCCTCATTTCCCAAACACTTACAAAGTGTTGTAAAAAGAAGAATTAATGCAACAGAGTAGAGAAACATGCCTTTGCCCCAGCTTTGGAAATATCCTTACCTGACTTTGTCCAGAGAGCATGTGTAAAAAGGGCTTGGTACACACATTAACCAAACTTAGCTTCAATCTTACCATTAAAGGTCACACAGTCCTCCTAACAGTCTACCAGTAAGAGGAAGTGGTTAGTTCCCTTGCAATCATACAGTGTCCCTGTGTTTCTATTACTGTAGTTTTCAGAAGAATCAATGTGGAGGTTATTGAAGAAAATGCCAAAGAATTCTGTGATCCTTGGAACAAGTTGGCAATGTTACAGTGGTGGTCACGGATAGTCAGAACTGTGACAGCTTTGCAATTATGAAGACTCAGGAATTATAAACAGGTCAAGTGTATATTAAATGTTGCTCAAGTTGCTCAAACAGCCTAAAAGTGTTCACATGTTCCAGTTTGCCTTCTTGTCAATCTAAGATTTTACTTTTGATTGCTCTTGTAAAGGGAAGATACTGCATATTATGCTGGAGTGGCTTGAATGACACATCTAAGGTTTCATCTAGAGTGGAAGCAGTTTGCAGTGACACGGTAGAGCAAAGTGAATTACATTCCAAAACTTCAAGTAACTACAGGTGAAATAACTGCTGGTGATCAGTATTGTAAAAAATAAATAAATGATCTCAAATACATGTATTTTTGTTATACCAAGCTGCTTTGGTGTCTGC